TCCAAGAAACAGAAAAGTCGACTCATACTGCACCTCTCCTGCAGAGAGATGAAGAGGTTCTTCTGGGAAGCCAGGTGTTTGCAGGTACTTGCACTTTTTGGGGTTGAACCGGAGGCCAATCGCTTGAAGCGTAGCTTCGCTATCGGCCAAGAGGCGTTGTGCCTGGGCTCGAGAAGTAGCCAGTAAGACTAGATCGTCAGCAAAAGGAGTCAGAAAAAGCTTGCGCCCGCTGGGGTCCTTCAGCCAAGAATCCTCGGTGTCCTGCCACTTACTGTTAGTCGGTGTTAGGAAGTAGTCAATACATCGCGCGAAGAGTTCTGCACTATAGCTACTGCCCTGCAAAATGCCCTGGCGTAGTGCTTGGATCCATGAGGTGCCCTGGAGGCCAAGTTCCACTTGACTACCGCAAACAATCTGAAGGAGTAACTCAGCCTCGCGAGAGCCTTGGGCAGTGGCAAGGAGGGTAGCGACAGCTTCATGAGACAGCGAGTCAAACGCCGCTGCCACGTCTAATTTTACTATCACGAGCGGTTTCCCGTACTCCTCCGCAAGCCTGATCGCGTGCTGAACCGCACACGCGGCATCGAGTGTCTGCCTTTTAGGCAGGCCACCAACCTGAAAAGCCTGCATCCGAGGTAAGCATGGACGCAAGCGAAGCATCAATGCTTTCGTAAATACCTTGGCAGTGGTGCTGGAGAGAACGATGGGCCTGAGGTCACTGGGTGCCGAGGGAGTTGACGTCTTCGGAAGGAAGCAGACATGGCTAGTCAACCAGCTAGCAGGGGGGGGGCAAAGCCCCCGCAATACACTGTTGAACATGTCGAGAATGTGGTGACTGAGGTCGGATTGCAACAACATCTGGAGGGCCTCATATGAAACCCCGTCCGCTCCCGTGCTCTTGTTGTGCTTGCACTGGAAGGCAACGTCTTGGATCTCCTGCAGACTAAAGGGGGTCGGGTCCATGATGGGTCCTGCCCTGTGATGGAACATAGCCATGGGCAAGCCTGAGGGCGAGGGTTCCATGGGGGTGTACTTCTTCTGATAGAAGAAGCGCAGGTCACTGATTGCCTTGACTTTTCCTCCTGCCCGCATGCAGTAAGACCCTTGCACAAACATGGTAGATTGTCTTTTGCGGAAGTATGCTGCTGCTCTGAAGTCCCCTGCTGCACTCTGTTCCAGTAGGCCGGTTAGCCATTCTCGCTTATCTGTTTTGCGTTTGTCCGCAATGCACTTGGCCATCTGTTGAGCTTCTTTGCCTCGGAGGCTCTTGCGAGCCTTGATCATGTCCTTGATGGCCGGTGAGTCCTTGTACCTACAGCTGGTGATTCGCCTCGAAGTAGCCCCGCAGAGGTCCTCAAGATCCTTCATGCTGAGGTCCTTCATCTGCAGATCCAGGGTCTCTGCAAGCTTTTCGGCTCGTGTTTGCAGTGCTGGACCATCTGTCCACCACTTTCCACACTTAGACGGCTTAAAGGAGGCTCGGCCTGTGCTACTTTGGGAGTTCATGGCTACACTAACAGCACAGTGGTCTGACCCAAGCACGTCGTCCGATCCGACAACTACACGATCGTCCCTATACTCGAGAGATGGCATGGCAAACAAGATGAAGTCGATCCTCGAAGCAGACCCTGTGGTATTTCGCCAGGTGGGACTTGACGGTCTGGTATGTTGGAGTCCTAAGGTGCGTAGAAGCTGACCAAGAGGCACTCCTCTCTCGTCCACATTAACAATGTCTAGCACGTCATAATTAAGGTCACAACACAAGCAAATGGTGTCGTGGTATCGACGCTTGTCGCAAAAATGCAAGATTTCTTCTGTTTGTTGTTGCCAAACGGGCAAGTGGTCCTTCCGGAGCGAATGGGGCATGTGAATTGATGCCAGAAACTTTCGGGTTCCTTGGTCTCGTATTACGATCCCTATCCCTGTGCAAAAGGCCTTCGTCTTTTCGACCTGGCCAAGCCAACTAGTAGGTATGCCGAGGGCAGACCCTCGCCACGAGTGCGAGGGGTCGCAAAAGAAGAACGTGTAGGACTGTCCTGCCAGCATAACCTCATGGTGCAAAACTGAATCGTGGGTAGGGCATTTTTGCGGCAATGACCCCACCTCTTGCAAGCCAATTACATGGGTGCCTTGAAAACCAAGTACATCCCAAGTGCGGGCAACGTCCTCTAGACCTTTCCCGCGCAAATTCCAAGAGAGAGCATGCACATCCACTCTTGTCCTCTTCGATTGGGGGGTCTTGAGTCAAGCACGAGCTCCTGCAGGGGAGCTGCCTGGCCCAAAGTCCTGCCAGAGCTGCTGCAGCGATTCCTTGTCACGGCCTGTAATCTTGGCAAATGCCTCTGCGCACAGAAACCATACTGTATGGTTACCCTTCACGTCTTCTATGATTTGGTCGTATGCTGCCGGTTCGTGTCCGTCATCCATGTTCTTGAGGGTTCTGACCTGCCCTACGAAAAGTTGACCTCTCCAGACTATCTCCGGGTCGGGCCACCGCGGCATGTTGTCGCTCTGGAGAGGGATAGCATTATAGAAGTTTTTTGCTAGTACGATGGCGCGGATTCTGAGCCTCTCTTCGATGGAGCGGTCTCGTTGTATCCATAAGTTGCTGTCTTCCTGTCCCACGATACCGCTTTTGGCTTTCAGGGACTTGAGCTTGTTGAGGATCCGGGTTTGGTATTCCCGTTTTTTGCCCAGTTCAGTGATGCCCAAGCCTTGATAGTCCAAAGCAACTCGCAAAAAGTTCGTACGACCTGAAGGACCCGAGAAGTCCAGGATGGCCCCTTCGAAGCCTGCTTCTGTAAACATGTTTTGAACCTCTCTCTCAGCTTCTGCAACCCTGGCGTCGGTCCAGCCTCCAATTACAAGGCCTAGGTCCTGGGCAGGGTCCCGCATGATGTCTGAAGGAGGTCCTCCTCTGGGACTGCGCGGGCTGATGTTCCCTGCTCGTGATCCTCGTGGCGTGTCTGGAGCTCCCCGGGGGGGAGTTAGGGACCTTGCGCGGCGTTCGAGGTCACTTATGGCTTTCTCAAGAGCGGTAAGGCGGGTGTCGGTAGTGTCATGGCGGCCGGTGTGTTCCTTGGTAGCTGTCTCGAGTGTTTGGATTCTGACGTCATGTTGACCTACAACACTACCTAAATCCAGGCAGTAACGGTGTGTTTGATCACTCTTCATGTGCAACCCTTTAAGACTCGCGGTGATATCCTGAAGCCAAGGGGGAGGCGCTGGGGTACTATCGGTCAAAGTGGCAAAGGGTCTCCCTGCTTCCGCGGAACCATTGCCTGGGCCTGTTGCCTGTCCTGGTGGTTGCTCCGGCAGCTTGCTGGTGTTGAGCTCGTCGTCGTCGGGTTGATTGTCTCCTGAGGTAAGGTCATAGACCTCGTGGGGCCCGAACGCTGCACTATGATCGAGCCTGAGGAAGGGGTGTGCTGAGGTAGGAGCAGGACTTACTGCGGCAGCGATTTCAGGCATTTCCGAGTCAGGTTGAGTGTCTGCCTGTTCTTTGGCCTCGATTTTGATTTTCTTAAGGTCAGGAGAACGTCGGGACCCGGGATCAGAGCTGGGGGGTCGATTAGACTCCTGACGAGGTTGGTTCTCGAGGACATTATGGTGGCTTGAGATGACAGGGCCGACTCTAGGCAGCTGTGTTCGATCGGTACCTCGATTGGCTCGCTCGATCTTATCGTTCCCACGGCTACGCTCTCGCCCTCGTCCTCGCTCGCTCTGTTCAGTTGGTTCGTTACGAGACATGTCGTCGTAGGAGCGGTCCTGGAAGAAAGGGAGAAGGAAAAGGCAGTCAGTGCAAGGGAAGGGCAGTCAGTGCGCAAGGAAGGGACAGGCAGTGCAGGGAGGAACAGTGCAGAGAGAGAGAGAGAGAGAGAGAGGGAGGGAAACAGTAGAAAGCGACTGGAAGGCGCGGGAGGACTGACGAGCGGTCTCTGGGTGTCTGTCGCTGCTACGATAGAGTCTTGAGCCGTAGCCATTCTTGAGCCGTAGCCAACTACTACTACTACTACTACTACTACTACTACTACTACTACTACAATGACTACCACTAGCATTACCACTACCACTACGACGACGACTACGACTACTTTAAGTCTTTAAGTACTAGTAACTAGTAGTACTACTACGAGTTGTAGCAGCAGCAGTTCACTTGTACAAAGCACATAAAAACCTAACATATTCAGTGGTGCCACTAAGTCTCCGCCTAAAACAGTTCAGAAGCATCTACCGTATCTTCAGCCGGAGAGACAGTGACAGTGGGTGAGAGAAGCAAGCAAACACACGACCAACATGCTTGAAGAATGCAAAGGCACTGTTTGTCGCCTGGCCTGCCTTTGCTTACGTAAGGTGACTCTCTAGTTGAGATAACATTCAAAGTTCCGATAGCCATCCGGCGATTGCTACTTGGCCTCCAAAACGATCACGGCTCCGCGAGGCAATGTGCAATTCTGATTGTAGATTACGTAGGAATTCAGGAATGTGAATTGTGGTGCGCACCGCCAGTTCGGCTGCATCAAACCGCCACCTCTCTCTCGCTCTCTCCGTCTCCTGCTCTCTACTATGCTTCTCTTCTGAACTTCTAGCTACTGTACCTTTGTCGAGGAAAGGGTGGGTTCTATGGCTGTTTGGTTGCCTTGTGCCGCAACTTGTACCATGTCTGGTCATGGATGTTTCCCTCCGATAGAGCTCGTTCCCCAAATGCAGGCATGTCACACGCTCAGAGCACACGCTCCCTCTCGCTCTTTCTTGACATCTCCTCGCCCCGACCTCCACCCGTTTTGTGTGTTAGGTCCGCTACGTCCCGGTCCGCCGGTGCAGCGCTCCAAGCAGGCCCCAAAGACAGACCCCTCTGTCCCTTTGCTCCCTTCTCTCGAGCGGCTAGACACCATCACCAGACCAGCATATCGAAGATGTAGCAACCTATGTCGAAGGGACAACTACTGGTGTGTTCTCTTCTGCTTGTGGCACGCCGACTTCTTGACTCGCCAAGGCGCGATTCACCTGGCTTGCATGGATAGCTGCACGGCCCTTCTGCTCCTCCTCTTTGGATCTCCAAGTCGTTGAGTTGGCGAACATGCTGTTGATCCTTGCGAGCAATTTCTCTGTTGTCAGAATAGCCGGCAAACCCGGGTTAGGTCATACGTGTTAAGTGGCATGAGCCACGTTCTACACTGCAGGAAATTACGAACAAACCGGACTGGTGCCCTCTGTTCGACCGAGCAACAGCACAGATTAGACACACCAGACAGACTGCGGTGCAAGAGGTCCTCTCGCTGGAAGTTGCCATTTTGATGGATCCATCAACAGCACAGCATCAAGCTTCTCGACTACGAGGTTTGAGTACGCTGCGGTCGGGGAACACATGGAGCTTGTTGAATGCGGCTCGAGCTGCCAATTCTCGCTGAGCCCGCTGCAATGAGGTACAAGTGTCGCATCAAGTCTGCCTTCGCAAGCTTTTACCCGACTCTCTGAAGCAAGTATGGTTCCCCAACATCCCCACACACAAACAAAACCGCTGATACATGCAGTCGCCCCGAGCGGCTTCCATAAACAGTGCCACCCCTGTTGAAGAAACGGTTGGTTAGGAAAAGCAGGGGCTACATCAGCTGCACAACACAAGAATCATCAACAACGCGATGTGCCTTCCAGATTTTCTGCAAAGACAGCAAGGCTTCCCCACGTTTTGGTGTAACTTCCTGTTTTGCTGGGTGGGAGGCATGTCTATGCCCTTGAAACCCCTCCAGCAAGAAATGTACAGGCTGCGTTTCTGATTTCAAACTGTTCTCAACCCAAAAAACAATGCGCGAGACTCCGCTTCTCGTCTTGAGGATTCGCAGCCCCGAAGACTACCCACCATAAGTAGGACGGAGCTACATATGAGTGGGGCTAGGGCATGCATCAGGCACAGCCTAGCAATCTAATGGTCTCAGAAAAATCATGGGGTGATTGACTAGCTCGAGCTACCCAACACCTGTCGGTGGTGGCCTAGGGGCCAGCGGATAGCATTTTGTGAGCTGGAGCCACCGGTTAAGAAATGAACGGGGCCGGAAAGATAATACGGTGCCTGGTGCCTGCGATCGTTGGGGTGCCTTCAATAAAACTTAAAGGAAACCCAAGGAAGGCTGCCCTTGGAAGTGGCCTTTCTTATCCACCCGCTGCAACATGTAATGTACTCGCTTGAACATGGAAGGCTGGAGTTTCGGCATAACACAGACAAATCTGCGAGCAATTTTGAGCAGCATCATCTCAAGCAGGCAAATGAAATTAAAAGGTTGGCGTCAAGGTGTCAACTGCTCCCGGTGGTCGCCCTGCTAGAGACTATGACTCAGCGAATCTTACAAGCGATTGCACGAAACAACGGAGGAACGTTGCAGTCTTTTTGAGGCAGGGACCTTGGTCTCATAGACCATATCTTGCGCCCAGAAACACAGTTCTGCCTGGCAATGTTCGTTTGCGGCTTCAACTCCCAAATCCGTGGTGATCACATGATATCATGATCTCCTTGCGAGGGTGATCTATGGGCAATGGCATTGGAAGCAGCCGCCTCACACATGTGCAGCCAAAGCAGCAGCGACAACCACCACTACACGCTGGAACTCCGCAACAACAAGTGGTTCATTCAGTGGCGAACGTCAGCAGGTGGGCAACGACCGCGAAGCAGGACGCAGGAGCATGGGCTATCTGGTCCTTTTCGCAGAAATGCTGCTGTCTTGCCTGGCTCATGTGCAAACAGCCAGCAGCAAAGGGGGGGCCTGCTGGTTGATGAGCAAAGTGAGCAATTGAGCCTGAAGATGTCCGGCTCCGCATTAGGCTGCTATAGGCTGGCTGGCCAGTGTAAGGCCGAGACTGTCAGGCGGCAGCAGGACGCCGCTTCCAGTGGAGTTCGGATCGAAACCGGCCTGAAGGAAAAAAATTCTGATGATGCTCCGGTCGCTTACATCTCTGGTCTTTTCCGAGTCTCTTGCAAGCGAGATGTCAGAACCTCATCGCATGATCCAAGGTGTGGAAGCAGAGCTCACGCAAGTCTCTTCGGCAAACTCAGATCCCTGCCGGTATGAGAATCCGAGGAGGATCCACTTCCCCTTTCAGCTTCTCTACATCCTCCTTCACCAGGCGCTCAAAGTGCTCAAAGCCTGGAGTCACTTTCGACTGTCCAAGTCTATGCAAGGAAATGTTATTTTCTACGGATTCTCGGGAAGAAACGAGTCGCTGATTCTTGCAGAAGCGGCATCGCTGCGGGGGGCGGTTGCGCCTGCACGCAGATGTACCAGTTGTCTCAGTGGGGCCACAAGTCATGCGTGCGGGATGCCGAGCTCAACACGGACTGCAGCTGGCCCCCCGACTCTTCCAGAAGGACGACTTTTTGCAAAACCCTGGGAGCACGGATGCTTACCGGTTGCAACTCACGCTTATGCAGCATTTCAGAGCACATGTGGCCTGTCGGCAAGCCCCCGCACCTGCACTATTTGTTCCATAGCTGGCGACCTAATGCTACTGCAGGTGCGGCAGAGTTTCACGCTGGTTGAAACGGCACAGCGCAGCAGCTGATGCCGAAACCCTACTTGCAAATGCTAGTGCTAGTGTGCGTCAGTTACTCCGGAGAGCTCGGGAGGCGGGCGAGCAATCATGGGATCCATCGGAATTTTGCAAATTAGAACGGGTCCTCCTCGTATGCAGCAGGCGCTGGATACCTTCCGCCCATGTTTCGGAGTCCAAATCTCGAGCATCCCACATGGCACTGCTTGCACCTACTTCTCCCGAAGTGATGAGCGTGCTCGGCTGCAGCGCGGCAAAGCGCCTCTGGCGAAACCATTCCCAGGGTGCCGCCCCGATCCCGAGCCTGTGACGACCAGATACCATGCATCGACTCAAATGCTTCAACAAACTCAACAACAAATAGGGGGAGGGGGTGCCTCGTAGTTGAACATGTTTTTATGTTACCCGAGATTAGCCCGGAGGTTGCACCGGCTTACGTACTTGGCTGCATCATTGATGCCGAAGGCTGCGGCCTTGAAAGCATTCAGAAGGCTCGGGGGAAGCCACGACTTTTTCGCCACACATGTGACCGCCGAGTGCATTCGTTGAGCCGTTGTGTCTTCCTGTGTCTTTCATGTGTCTTCGGCGGAGAAAACAACCTGCCGCAGTCCTCCCAATAGGCTTCTGCATGTGTCAGAAGGCTCTCGGAGCACCGCTCCTCAGAAGCATAACTTCTACTTGACTTCGCCGAGGTTCGACAAAACGCCCGTGTGCAGCTTGCAAGCGTGTTGTTGGTTTCGATTACTGGCGCGCTTGTCCGATACATGCATGTTCCATGGACTGCTTCCCAACCGCAATGCCCAGGGCCTGAAGCCTCTTGGAAAGTTGGGAAGCTTTCGAAGCGATTCAACCCCAACCTCCGGCACTCTGTGAAGACTTGTGCGCGGTGCGATTTATGTCCGTGAAATTGGGCGCACTTGATGCATGTAGGCTAAGTCCGCCTTAGATATACAACTACTACTATGGTTCTCAGTCGCCTCATTGCATCCACCATGGCGCACAAACGCTCGCGCGCTTATATAATTTATTTGCATTTTGCGTGTCGAGCCCGATCCAAGGCAACGGAGTTGGTCAAGCCTGTGGCCCGCGCTGTTCTGAATCTGAGACGGCGTCCCACGTGGTAACACATGCATGCCATGTCAAGGGATCCGCGCCGACGCAGCTACGTGGACAAGAGCTAGTTCTCCAGGTGTGGTCTTGGACGCTTCCTGAGCGAGCTGGATTGCCAGTCGGTGCCTTCATTCCGCTTCTGCCCAGCTGAGCGCCTTGCAGTTGGCAAGGCCTCTTCGATTGTCCTGAACCAAATCCAGAGCCGCGAGTGAGACAACATATCTCATGAGTGCCCAACTCCAGCAGACCGACACGTGATCTCACCATGGCCCACCAGGATGCCTTTGAAGCAGAACCCACGACCGCAGTTGTTGCGCAGCATCTCTGCGCCGTCTGTGCCTCGTCGATCGAGAGGCCAGCGGCGGCAAAGCAAAGCAGCATAGCCCGCTCGACGCAAAGTGCGAAGGACTTATCCTCAGGAGATTTCGCCTCCATGCACCAACCGTGTGAGCATCTGCTCAGGCTCGAACACCTCCTGCTGGAATCGGCAGAGGCCTGTGAGCACTGCTAGGATTGAAGCATGCACGAACAGCAATCTAGCAGCAATCGCTGCTTTGCCTTGTCCATTTTTCAGACCTCACTGCAGGCGCAGCTTTCAGCAATTCATGTCGGACTTCTGGGGATCTGAGTATGCGGCTTGGAGCCGCCGTTGAGTCTCAACGGCTTTTTGTTTGCGAATGGAAGAACAACTCCATACAGGAATCGCGGCCTAGCACTGAGTGGATGACTTGTCAATGCAGGTATTGCCTGTCTGGCTGTCTGTATCTGTTTGCTGTTTTTGGGACAGCGCCCGTTGGAGTCGCAGGGGAAAAGCAGCTGGCGGTAGATCAGGTACCTGCCGCCGTTCGGTGCATGAGCGGCCGCTAGAGTCTAGAGCCTGCAAGAGGGGCGGACCAAAATCCACTTGAACACAAACCTGCACGACTGCAACCCGAAAGCACCTGTCGCAGCAAGGCCACGGTGACCCGAGATGACATTGTCGTCGCCGAGGCCCGTACCAAAGAATCCCTCAATGGCATGCTGGGATGCGGAGCTTGCCCGCTAGCTACCACTGGGTGATACCTGTCGCACATCACGAGCCATCCGCGGGATACCTGCGCTGAACTCAGGTGCAGGCTGCAAGCCGTCGCCAGTATTCACAACCTAAGCAGCTCACAATGCAGCATCTCGTTCGAAGCCGTGGTAAGTCCACCAGTGTAAGCATCTCGCTGCTAAATCACATGTTTCGCTGCTGTCTTTTGTGCCACGAACTAGAACGAGCAACCTAAGCAGCCAGAAATGCCGAACTCCGGCGCAGTCCCGTGGTCTTCCGCATGTAGTTCGCATGCACGCATGCAAAAAGGCATAGGCACCGGCACACAGTGCCCAGAATCGTCTGCATCTTCCTGCCGGTGATATCTTTGCTAAGCTGAGGCTGGAAGTCTTCTCGGGCAACGGGTTGAATGGCCGAAGCCGCGAGCTACAGTATCTTTTTGTGTGGATGGGCTATGCCACATCCTACGACTCCTCACGACAGCCAGCGAAGGTTGCAGTCAGAACCTACTTCTGCCTGCCTCTTCTTTGGAAACGCTGTTGCACAGCCAACCTCTGCGACGGCCGACTTCGGATCTCCAATCTATGCCAGGACGACATATATTACTCACCCAAATCGGGCCTGGAGGATTGCATCATTCCGGCCCATGTGCAGTTGATCTGTTGATCATGTTGGGCACAGCAGGATTCCGATTGATAGCATCAAAGAGGATTGCGGGAGGTCGATTTCTACAAGTTTGCTCGACCCCCGGATCTGAGAGGGCGACCGGCGGGAAGCAGTGCCATGCCTCCTTCTGGCACCTCTCGCATGCACAAATCTGCCGAGGCTTCGGTGTCCAGGTTTAGTATCTCCGCAACCTCTCAACTCTGCTTCTGTGACACTTTGTGGGCGCGGCGAGTTGGATAAAACCAAAATGGACCGAATGTCAGCGCTAAAGTGTTGCAAGGCGCATTCTCACCGTGTAGTCGGGTGCCAGGGGGAGGGGGCTCAGGGTTGGGACAGGAGGGTAGGGTGTATAGTGTACACTATAGACTATAGAGGGGATACAGATACAGAGTGTTCAGGGGGAGGTGAGCGTAGGACTAGAAGATGTTGGATGGATGGCGTGGGGTGGGTATCGGCTGGTATTGGGGTTGTATGAGGGGTGCAGGGGGTGTGCAGGGGGTTTATGCGGGGGAAATGGGGATGAAGGGGCAGGTTCGGGTGGTGTATGGCAGATTCTAGGGAGTGTATAGTTGGTGTTGGTGCTGTTGGGGTGCATAGGGTGTGATTAGGGGTTGGTGTTGGTGATGGTGCGGTTGCTGTGGCTGCGGCTGTTGCCGTTGCTACTACGACAAAGAATTCCTCTCCTTCATGTCTCCCTGCCCAACTGGTTGTACGTGACGTACAGGTCCTGCTCACCGCACTCCACCTTCTTGAGCAGGCAAAGTGTCATGCCCAGGTGATGAATGTCGCTGGAGTGGCTGCCACTAATTTTTGGGAAATTTTGGAGGATCCTGCCGGTATGCCATCAAGCCCCAAAAAAAGCTGAACACAACCATCTGATCAAGTGGAGTGTGGTCGGACAGCCACAGGCTCTCCCATCAATCATGCCACGTCAATGCCCGGGCCTCCTTTACTGATGTACAAACGACAGCTCTCTTGGTCCAGTGGTTCTCGTTTGCCCGTAACCTGCTGCTCTCAGGGGCGGGGTGCAGGTGCTGCGTTTCGATGCGACCTGCAGCGGGCGTTGTAGCTCGGAGGTCACACTGAGGTCAACTCTCCAACCCAGATGGAGAAGTCTCGATTTGGAGTGTAACGAGGAGTTGCTCCCAGGGAGATACTCCCCAAAACAGCAGTCAGACGAGCCGGACGGAAACACTGCCTCAATAAGAAGCGTTAGCAATAGTACATGCCTTCAACAAGATCAAGACTTCCAACACCGGTTCCAACGAGCCAACTGGGGCTGAGCACTCGCAAAATGAGGAAAGGTTTCACCCCAAACGAGTGTCTTCCCGCTACGTGTGAATGAATGTTGGTGTTGGTGTTGGTGTTGGTGTTGGTGTTGTTGTTGTCGTTATTGTTGTTGTTGTTGGTGGTGGTGGTGTTGTTGGTGTTGCTGCTGTTGTTGCTGTTGCTGTTGTTGGTGGTGGTGGTGTCGTTGTTTCTGTCGCCGCTGTTGCTGGCGGTGTCGGGCGGGGGTTGGGGGCAGCAGGGGTGTGCATGCTTTTTCGGCAAGGGCGTAGAATGGCGTAGAAGTCGAGGACTCGGTGGACGCAAGGAGGGTAGGAGCAGTGGCTTTGGAAGGGCTGGTTTAGTGGGCGTGCGTGTACGCAAGGGGGGCATGCTCAGAGGCTTGTTGCTGCTGATGCTGCCAGCAGTTGCTAGTTTGGCAAGCGCGTGCTTGCTTGGGTTGTTGTCGTCGTCGGGTGGTCGTTGTCGACTGCGGCCCGGCCTTGGACCAAGGCGGGTTCGCGCAGTGGTGAATTGCGAATCATCCAAGCAAGGCAAAGCTTAAAAGTCTGTTTCCAATACCTTGGTTCAGTGCCCTGCCTGCTTGACCCACTGGACCACCTCCACGATGAAAGCATGGAATCTGGCTTCAAAGGCAGTGACCTTACGAGCCCATCAGCTGCAGGCTTCCAGCCCAGGGCATGTTTCCACAAAAGCAGAACCCGCTCTCACACGGACCTTGTCGTGCTCAGCTGCCAGAGCTTCCTCCCAAGACCGACAGCGGGCTCAACATTGGCATGTCTATGAAAGCTCGACATGTCCAAGCGCTGCCTCTCGGAGCAATGGTCGCGGCATGTCCTCTAATTGAGTGACGACAACAGTATGACAATGCGTGAGCATGATGCAGAAGCAGATGCCTTTGTCAGATCCAAACATCGTTTCAAAACCTCTGCAATGCATGAGCTTTTTCTCACACCATCTACGAATCTGGCCGGGGCATGCGCGTTCTGCACCTCAACGACTTCGGGTGGGGGAGAACGCTGGGTTGCTCGACCCAATAGGCCACAAGCTACCTGAAGCGCCTCATGGCCATTGCAATCGCAGCGGGTCGCTCAAACTGGCACGCTGACATTACTGCCGAGGAGGCCTCTGCCAAAACATCCAGGCTCGGTGCGGAAGCTGGTGCTTCGTGATGCCCGGGGCCTCAGTCTGTTTCCAAGACTCTCAGGTCGCCACGTAAACCAATCAGCATGTGATTGCAGGACTTGGCGTCAAGCCGTGATTGTTCGTTATTTCCATCCAAATCGTGGACACCCAGAGATCGAGCACACAATGGACCCTCTGTTGAATACCCACATTTGATGATAAAACGGTTCTCAAAATTTAGAACCGTACAAAGTTGTTACAGTTGTTGTGGCATGGCAATGAAGGGGCCAGAGTGCCGCTCACGAAGGGCCTCAAGCCCTGAACAGCTGGGACTAGCGGATGGGCCTGGGAAAGGAGGGTTCTGATTGAGATTCCGTTGACGGCTGCAGGAAAATAGGCGGCTGAATGTGTTAGATGCATGAGGGCCAAGAAGAGATTGTCCAGTCGTAATTCTGAGTTACACTTCTCAAGTTGTCGCGAGATTCCATCATGGACCATCAGAACTGTGTGGGAGCTTATGTAGCTCAGGTTGTGAAGATCACAAGGGTTTGAGTTTGAGAAACCTTCGTGCACTCCAGTGCTCGGTACGATTATGTATAATTAGATTCTTTCGAACCACGCATTAGAGTAAATAGGTTGCAGTGAAGACTGCAGAGACTATGCTGGTGCCTATAGTTCAGGCTGCGAAAGCCATGCAAAGAGTCAGACTAAGCAGGTTTACCCGGTTACCCAGTCTGCATTAGCAGGGCCTACGTTGCCAACATTGGTGTGATCGTGTGTGTAAATGTCACTGACTCCTGCTCTAGCTACTGAATCCGGCTTTCCGAGCTGTAATTCCCCGCCCTTTACGCTAGCACACCCCCAACCCGCCTCGTCCCCGCGCCCCTATGGCAACCGCTAGGAGGCTTACAGCTCGAAAGTTAAAACACCCGTGCATCGGCACTCGGAGCTTGCGGAAAACTCACACTGCACTAGCCATCACAACACACGACACACAACAACACTACCACAACAGACATTATTCTCTCTTGCTCCTCGTGCTGTGCCGCTCTGGCAGGGTTGAATAGTGAAAGAAAGCTGCTGCTGTTTTTGTTCCCCCGACAGCGTGCGACTGTAGACCCCATACACCCCCTAGGAACTTGGTTGCGCAGCAGCTTTGACTGTTCTGGGGTCCGTGGGCATATGGAGTTCTCATGCCGAAACAATGTCGCTCCCCCTACAACACAGTAAGTAGGTAGTTCCACACAGCATGTGGTAACCTGGCTCCACCTTGCCCCTTTGTGACTAGTCGTGGAACTGTACCTGGGGTCCACTGTTCGAGTCTCATACGCAACAAAACGGCAGGCTAGCACACGTGTAGCTAAAGCAGCTAAAGTTACGACGGTGGGCCTGCAGGCTCGTCGGTAGATGTGCCAGGCAACAAGACTGCTTCCGGAAAGTAGCTGCATCAGCGGTTGCCCCCCATGCTTAGCTCTTAGCTTGGCTGCTTCAGCGTCACTGCGATCCCCCAGCTCACTGTTGCACGGCACTACGACCCCAAGACAGCCAACAAACGAACCCCCTACGTAGTCGTCTTGGTCCAGTGAGCTTGGGTTCGCAAACCGGCGTCGCGGCTCAGCAGGGCTTCCGGTCGGTGGCTCAGCCGGCGTGTCCCCCGCAGCGGTCGTAGTAGGTCTCGCTGTACCTCTTCCACGACTTCCACCATTTCCGCGCTCCCCAGTAAACTTGGGCCCAGCCGTCGCGTTCTTGCATGGCTCGGAGCGCTTCTTGCAGAACATCCCCCACCAGGAAAGGCAGGAGGTATCGTAGGCGTCTTCTGGCTCGAAACACCCTCGAGGCGTCTGGCGTGTCCACGGGCGGTCGGCTTGTGGCTTCTTCTGCCCCCGCTTGCTGGGTGCATTGCGGTCCTCTCGTGTTGTCTGGTGCGGGTAAAAACCCACCAGTACTGGCACCCCCTCCGCTGCCGTGCTCTGGGTAGGTTCGAGGACCTCTGCCAGCTACCCCTGCGTCGGTGGGTCCCTTTCATCCAGAATACCCACCACCAGCGCAGCAATCTGAAAAGTGCTGGGAGATGCTGGCTGCTGCTCAAGCATGAGGGCATGAGGGTCCGGGTGGTCTGTGGGTCCATAGACGGCGTGTTGAGAGCCAAACAAGTAGTCTGCAAAAAGTTTCAATAACACCCTGCAAAACCCACAAACAGAACATGGTGCAGGCATAGAAAACAAAGAATTCCAAGCAAGGCTTGCGGGCACATGTCGTCGGTAACAACTTTGATTTGTAAGATGTTTTTTTGGAAAATCACAGCAGGGCTTGCGGGCAAAGGTCATCGGTAGCAACTGAATTTGTAGCATGTCTGTTTTACTCTTCTGCGGAGCAAACCCTCTCAAAAGGTAAAGTTTTCATGAACCGCGCAGCACAAGTTCATATTTCGATCAGAAACATTCGCCCACCAGTTGCGCTAGGCATTTCAGGTGTAATGTTTTTTTGAGTTTTTGGCCACAACTTCCCTCTGTACCGTACTCAGATTTCATGTAGAGAACGTGCTTGCAATGCCGGGCACAACAAACATGCCACAAATTCAGTTGCTACCGACGACCTTTGCCCGCAATACGTGCAAAACAAACATCCTACAAATCAAAATTCTTACCGACTACCTTTGCCCGCAAGCCCTGCTGTGATTTTCCAAAAAAACATCTTACAAATCAAA